GGACTCTAATCCTAAACCCTGAACTCTCAAACCTGCATGTCAGACTTCGAGAATTGCTTCATGCTGGGCTCTTGGGCTCTTGTTTGCTTGCTTGCTTGCTTGCTTGCTTGCTGCCTTGCTTGCTTGCTTGCCTGCGCGCTTGCTTGCCTGCGTGCTTGCTTGCTTGCTTGCTTGCTGCCTGGCTTAGCACAGGAAACGGAAAAAAATACCAAAAAAAACGGAAAAAAAACACCGAAAAAATAGGGCCACCCTGCGTCCTCTGAGGCCCAGGCTTAGCCTTGCTAGCTTTGCTTCAGCAAAAGGCGCGACCGCCAGTGCCGCCGACCCTGCATCATCGGGCCCTCGTTTTTCCACTGGGCCGCACGGGACCTCGCGGTATGGCGGGTTTCGAGCCCCCCGTGGAGGACTCCAGGAGCCAGCCCGCAACCGGCCTTGCAGCGCGAAGCAATGTTTTGCCAATTTTTGAATGGTTGCGGAAGCCCGCAAAGGGCACGCATCATCAGCATCAGCGGGGTTCGGCGGAGGGGTGCGTGGCCTTGCTTCAGGCTTCTACCTGCGCTTTTCGCCCGATGGGCGCAGCCCTTGGCCTTGCCTTAGAATCGGGCAGCGCTCGGTCCCGAGCGCATGCGTCCTGTGAGTACGTGGCTCAGCCGAGCTGCAGCTTGCTAGCTTTGCTTTATAGCAAAAGGCGCGACCGCCAGTGCCGCCGCCCCCATCCGCTTTCGAGTTTTTTGCGTAATTTTGGGGTGGCCATGGGTAGCCACCAAAGGGTGCGCATCATGAGCATCAGCGGCCCCAGCCCGGGACCCGGGGCGCGCATCATCAGCATCAGTGGGGCGCTGGGGACACTGGTCAGGGAGAAGGCCCCCTCCATCCTTGTTAAATGTTGTTCTAGATGGTTTGCGGTTTGAAGCTCAAGTTTATATCGGTTTGTCCGGGCTGCTACCTGCACTGCCCTCGGTGGGCAGCTCCTAGAGAAAAACAAACATGTAGATATAGATATAGATGTAGACATGGATATAGATATTTACATGTGCATGATCCTTTCAAGGGCAGTGAGTCAGTCAGATGCCAGGAGATGTGTGGCGGATGGCCTCTGCAGAAACTGCAGGGGACTCGGCATGCTTGTGCCGAGGCCGCGCTGTAGCAGCTTGACCTGTCCAGGCAAGGCAACAAGGACAAAGGATTTTCTGGGATGGATTGCGCACACTCGCACACTCCCGAGGAGTGAACACACTTTGCAATCAAGGCCCATTCATCAGGGATAGCTTGAAGAGCTGCCCCAATCTTGGTGACTCTACTCTGGCAGCTTTTTGCTGTGAGGAACACTCAACTTGACGGGCTTGCTGTCTTCTTGGCCCTCGGCAGCCCGGCGAATAGATTCTGGATCTGTAGCGACTTGGGCCGCTTCCGCCACGGGTGCGAGGCTATTCCAGTAAGGTTCGCCTCACAGCCGTCAGCGCACACGCTGGGCATGATCCCAAATCACACATGCTCGAGGTCCTGGCCGTCCATGCCTCCTGGCAGAGCCTTAAGCACACCGCCAATGGATCAACACGATCATCATAACCACCCAGATGATTTATACAAGTTCTTCGCAAGGCCGCTATTCAACTCCGGCCTCGCTTGCAGAGAGCATTTCCTGCCAAAGATCCATGACTCGCGTGCTCGCCGCTTTTGCCCGTCAAAGCTGTCCTTCAGAAACTGCCTCGCCGTCTGCGCTGAAAAAGTTGCTGGAGTGTCAGGAGCCCCTTGGCCAGCGAGAATTGAAGCCGTCAATGCGCAGACATCACACATGCTAAGACTCTGGCGGAACTTGCAAGTAAATCTAAGGCATCCCTCGTCATCCATGCCCTCTCCACGAACAGCGACGACCAGCCTACTCAGCGAAAAGCCCCTTGGCCATCCCTGCCTTACACATGCACAGCCTGGCACAGCCTGAGCATCCTACCGCGTTTCCGCAGAGGGTGGCTGGCTCCTGCATGGCACACAACAGATCAGCAAAGCTAGCTGGATCTGTGCCGTGTGTGTGGTGATCCGCTGTGTCTCGCCTCCAACTGCTGTGGAAAGGATTGCGGCCCCATACCAAAAGCCTTTTGGAAAGGCTTCTAGGTTGCCGTCGGCTCTCTCCAGTCCCTTAGTTGAGAGCCTGCGCCCTCGAAGTGCAGGCACTTGAGCAGTGAAGTAGGCCTCTGCGCTTCTGCGCTCAGATTGTTCTCTCTTTTCCCCGAGTCTTCTATTCCACACATTTCACCCGCCTTCGCCAGGGATCCGGCAGAAAGCTGGATCTCCTGATGCAGTCTTTGCTCAGGCTCAACATGCAGCATGAAAGAAGGGAGCAAGACTAGATCTGTCTCTGTCTGGTCCCTGCCTCCGATCGCACGAGGTCGCCTTCCTGCCTTGTGACCACAGCATGTGGACGGGCAGTGACACCTCGATGAGAAGATCGCTGAGCATAAATACATCAGACGCATTCACCTACCAGAGCTGCTAAGCTTGTTGCGGAATTTCACAGAGTCCGGCCTAGTGTCGGGATTGTGGTCCCCTTGCTCCTGCAGTAGAGCCCCGCAGAGCCCAGGAAAGTAGACAAGGCCCAGTCCCCAAGCTCCTTAAACGTCAACTCCCAGGGATCTCGAGCCCCTCGCGGAACGTGGAATCTGTACACGTGCTCCTAAAAACGGGAGGGCAACGGACAAGCGAAACCTTGGAAGCCTCGAACCCAGCACGTCGACGCGATTCCTGGTTGATCATGCCCGCATAGAAGTCCTTGATGCGTCTCTCTCTGGAAACGGCCTCTGCTCACATGGGCGACATCTTATCGATACCAGGTATGCGAAGGAGCACATTGCAAGACATGAGCTCCGTCGTCCCCCCGCGAGTGTGAAAACACTCGGAAACGCGTCACATTCTGTCACGCCGGACGCCCGAGAAATCCGAAGCCCGAAACGTTACCCCAAAATCATCCACAGCTGTAGCGGCTGATTGGAGGATGCTTGGCTAATCGGGGTCGCCGCAGGCGCGTGACTTGAAGGGAAGAGGGGCGCAAAGGGGAGGTCAGCTGCTCTATTGCGTTGGGACTGTCTGGAGGAGGCGGCAGTGCCGCAATGCTGAATGACATAAAAGTCAGCATGGCCACTTCAGCTTGTGTAGCGTAAAGACATCAGCGATTCTCCGAGAACTTCGGCCTTATGTGTGCCATAGAAGAACTGCTCAAGCCTCGGCCAGTTAAAATGAGAGGATGCTGACTCCAGGGTTCATGCAAGTAACGAGTAGGATCCAGGCTCCAGTTCAAGGGCAACCTCCACCACTTTGCCTGGAGGCCTGTGCGTGTTTAGAGCTGACGCCGTCTCTAAGCGACAGGGGGAACCGATCAGACCAAGAAAACCCTGCCTCTGCATCTCGCTGATGCGCTTCAAAACCTGCAAGCAGAGAACAAGGAAGATTTGCGGGCAAGAAATGGAGCACGAACACGGGGCCGAATCACAGCTTAGATGCCTCCGTGAGGTCCACATGCTGGGATGAAGGAGCCTTCGAAGAATCTGCATGTGGTGTGCTACGACCTCCCGATTATCAGGCAGTTGTCGAATGGCAAGCCGCTTCTGATCAGCTGCTACGAAGCCATGACAGGTTAGCCGGGGCAGGTCTTGCTTGAACTCAACAATGAAAGGCACTGCGTGAATCGCTGTCGGCTGGCAGCGCTTTCAGAATTTTCTCTCCGAATAGATTTCGTTTCATGTGTGCGCAAGACCTCCGGAGAGTCCAAGCAGGATCAGCAATTCAAGTTGCCTTCACCCCACTGACGACCTCTTTGGCTCTGTCTTGATCACGATCCTTGCAAGGCAGGAAAGAGGTAACTTGCATGTCTTGGACCCTTGGAGTCGCGGCATATGTGGCATCATGTGGCCTGGCCTTGTCATACTGTCTCCGGGTGGGCTGGTCCCCTGTGGCGGAACAGAACTTCCACAGGCAGTGCTCACAGTGGGCCCGCCTAGGACCAAGTGAGCATTCTTCACTGAGATGAAGATTGTCTCATAGTCCTCGGGATCAAAAGCGGCTTAAAAAGGCGAAGATTCTAACCCCGATGAAAGACACGGAAGAAGCATGTAGGCAGTGTCCACGTCGAACCAGCAAGAGTTAGATTTGCCTATCCAGTAAGTCCTCCTGTTGCTGCGCACTCATCCCCTTTGTCTTGTCGGGGTGGTACACCTCAAAGGGTAACACATCGTCTCTTGTGCCAACACCTCGAGCCAGGAAACTCAAGCTCCAAGCGAGGGAAAGGCGCTTGTAGGCGCGGTTCACTTCGTCCGGAGGAGCATACTCATCTATCCCGAGAATCTCGCGGCAGAGGCCATGAGGTCATGCCTTTCGCTTTTTTTCCACAGGCCTCGTAGTAATTGGTGCTGCGATCGTAATCATAGGCTTTAGCCGCAGAGAAGTCGGCCTTAGTGCAGTCGACGACAAGGTGCAACTACTGATTCGTAATTATTCGAAGTATTCACCAAAAAAAAACTGGACCCCCAAGCATCATCCGGTGTGAAGGACTGGTCGAGCGTGACGCGCTTCTTGTCCTAGTACACGCAGCAGCTCTCCGCGGGTCTTCGCGTGGCGCTGCGCTGCGCCTCAAAGCTGGGGCGGCCGCACGCTCTTCCGAGTACTCCTTCAGCAGCTCTTCGAGGCGCAGCTGCGCCTGACCACATATACGTCCCAACAGACTGCAGGCCACTGGCACCGGCACATGGGAAGCGATGCCTGGAATGCTTTGCTCTGCTTCAACTGCTTCCTTGCAGGCACGACAAGTGCACGGCACTGGAGGGGGGCGGGGCGCGTGCATTTCGCGAATGTCTGGGTTCCGTACTGTTGCTCCTTCACAGCAGATGCGGCGAGGCTCTGACAGCTACACGTGCCAGTGACTCTTGACGAGGCCTCTGTCAACTTTGAAGATCCTGCACGGTCACCGAGCCGTGCAATGGACTCCTGATGTCTCACAAAAGGGAGACTTCTGCAGCAGAATGCAGGAGAACTTCGAGTCCCGGCCCGGCTCCTGGGAAAAACTGAAGTCGCCATCGAAGGACGCGAGAGCCATCAGCCGCTCTCTTGTCCTCCAAATGGAGGTGACATACATGCTCTCACAACTGTCTCCTCACGAGGCTCCCAGTCAGACGCATATGGCTGTCAAAATGCTTGTTCCTGAAACCGAGGTTTTTGGCGGCTGTAAAGACTGTCTTTTAGAAGCTGAGAGACGAGCGTAGTACTTATCTGCACGAAGCATGCATGCGTACATGGAGCCGCAGGCTTAAGCGGTATCATGTGTGCTTTATGTCAGGCATGTGAAACGGTCCTGCATCAGCTGATGGCCATGGAGAAATTCGACGAATAGCTGCAGAATTGCTGAGCCGACCAGAAACAAGATGTGCTCAGCTTAGCGTACCTGTTGATCTCTCATGTCGCATCAACAGAGTCCATCTTGAAATATCTTCGAACGCAAGATATGAGATAATTGAGATGAGTGATTCTGTGCAGGACTCCAACAACTCCGGCCAATGGTCTTGTGCAGAAGGCTTGAGCCGAATCCCACTTCGAACTCAAACACCAGGAGTCACTGCCAGATCCTGGGCCAGGGCCTGCGAAGATATGTTCGGATGCCAGATCTTCGTATCAAACTTCATCTTCGGAGGATTGTACCTGCATGGACAGAAGCAACACAAATCCTTGCCAGAAGAAGTCGCTCTGGCGTGCGGATATTCTGCCGGAATCTCAATGTCAATGTCGAAGAGTCCTCCCGAGTACCTCTGTTTCTCGCAGGCTCTCATTCGTGCCAAAGTTACCATTATTGGCGCACGGTGTCCCTTCAGGGCCCTTCAGCCAAGCCTTCCAATGCGTAAGGTCGTTGTCAACCTGCACTTCCCGACTCATGTGCCAGATCGACTCACTGACAGCTCCGATCCCTCAGGACCCAGCCGAATCAGCAGAGACCTGAGCCTCTTTACCATCCTTCGCTAGAACGCGAATGTCCTGAACAGCCACGATCGCAGCTTTCAGGCTTTCAGCCGCTTTGGCTTTCGCATCTGGATTGCAGCCAGTCTTGGCAAGAGCTTGGCAAATCCGATTCAATGGTTCCAAAAGCCGGACCGGCTTTCAACTTCGGCGCCTGCAGCTCTTTCTCCAAGCGCTTCAGCTCGCGTGGCCTCGCCTGAGAACTTGCTCTTCATGCCCAGCTTTCCCTCGTGAAGCAGGGCCACCGACCATGACTTCGGCCGACTTCAGTGACCTGTTTGAGGGGCTGATCGGCTGATCCCGTGCTGCAAACGCCCGGTCTAATTCATGGCCTTCGCTCGCTGTCCTGTGCTGAACCCGTTTTGCGACATGACATCACATGACCACAGAATGCGCCTCGGTGAAGCCACAGCGTCACACCATTGAGGCTCAGGCCAAACGGGCCGGCTACAAACAATCTCGAACAATGACGCGCAGCAGGACATTCAAGCTCTGACGTGAACACGCGAAACTTAACAATTTGAAAACTCTTCGCTACAGCTGGCTTCCAGCTGCCCAAGAAACATTCATACATCTGAGCACGCTTCAGAGTGGAGGTGAAGAAATTCACGACGCATCTATCGTTTGAATAATTCAATGCACTCGCACTAGCGGGAAACCGACAAACACACGGTTGCAGGAAGAGGAAACCTCCAAGGCCAGGAAGTTCCTTTTGCCCAAATGTCACGTTGTGCATTTCAGAGTTTTCACGAACATCTTTGAGCAATATCTAGATTGCAGAACGCATTTAGAATCACAACTCTCATTTTTGTTCGACTTCCTCGCACTTCCGCTCCCCGAACTCGTCACTCCTGCAATCGCACCAACCCGGACCTTCAAGGATATGCTTTGGGAATCTACCCGGTTTTTCTTATGGCTGATCACGACCCTGGCTCGAACGATTCCTCGTTGGGCCGAGGCCCGGTTCCGGGGCCTGACCACTCAAGGCATTCCTCCCAAAGTATTAAAGAAATTGGCGAGCACAAGCAGGGCCGACGCAGGAAGGCCCCAAACCACTCGTGGGAAGCGGACAGAAAAAGTAGAGAAGGATTGACTCACACGCCAGGGGTCGCTGGCACCTAATCGAGAAATCGCATCAGACCAGTTGGATTTCGAACGGATGTAATCAAAGTACAGTTGGACATTGAGTCCGAGCAAAAGTGTGAGGATCAAATGAGCAATGTTTCCAAGTCGCGCGAATCCGACCGGCCATGACTTTGCAGAGCTTGGAAGCTGCAGATCTTGCAGGAAGGATCTAAAACTGAGTGTCTTGCCTTCGTGCAGCCACGATCATCCAGGCAAGCAATGTTTATGGTTGCATTCCTAAGTTATCCGTTTGAGTCCGAATGGAGCGAAGCG